TGCTCCCCTCAGCAGTGTACTTCGTCGATCTGCCTGTTCTGCTCCCCACTCTGTCTCTGGTGAATCTGCTCACCCTCCGCATCTCTGGCCTGTACCCCCAGTTCTGTATGAATAAATAAATAAATCTTTTTTAAAAAAATAGAGATAATCAGTTACCCCGGAATCATTTAATGAAAAGTCCATTTTCCCTCACTGTGCTGCAGTGTCACCTCTGTCTTGTCATAGGCCTCTTCCTGGCGCTGTTTGTAATGTTGGCCTGTTTCCTATAGTGCTATCCGAATTAGTAGTCATTATTGTTGGATAGCTTTTTATTTTATCATAATCTGGGGAGTGTTTCTCTCTACCAATATAGTCTTTTTCATGAGTTTCTTATTTTTATTCCTTTCCATTGCATATTATTTTTAAAATCAACTTTTTAACTGCTGGGACACTGACTGAAAATACATCTACAAATGAGTTTATGGAGAATTGATACTAGCAGAAAATGGGAGGCATAGTCAGTGAAAACACTAATTCTATGAGAATTTTTTTTTTTAATTCTGGAATAACATGACAACTAAAGTTCTTTTGAATTATTGATGACCTTCAGCTAATGCATTTATTATCCCTAGTTGAAGTTTTAAACTTTTCCTTAACTCAGAGCTGTTGATGAAATGGTTTAAACTTATTCAGGTTGGTGATATATTACTGCCTCTTTTGTTAAAATCACAAAGTTGCATTATCTTTCAGTGTTTCCTCTTTGCTTTATTTAAAAAATGTGCTAAAATAAATTTTATAGGTAAGATTTATCATTTGAGCCATTAAGTATATTGGTATTTATTTCTATTGTTCTTAAATATTTTGAGATGTTCTTTTTGCCTAACTGGCTGGATTCTTCCCCACCCCCCAATATCAAAACTTAGTAATGCATCTTATGGAACATGGGCCATTGATTCTGGGTTTGGCCACTTATCTCTCTAACCGCTGCATTGGAAAGACTGTAGTATAGAATTTTAATTTTATACGTAGACTTCTCAGAAATTAGTTTTAGTTTTAAGGTCTTTTTTTATTCATTGTGCATAGTTTAGTCATAAAATATTGATGTGTTCTATGACTAAGGTTTTTCTTGTAAAAAAACACTGAGATACCTTGGGCTAAATGTATTTAGCAGTTTGTTTATTTGGTTTGGTGCTTTTCAGGTCTGCTAGTTATATTTCTACTGCAGGGAGTATTGTATGCCACATTTTCAAAGTTATTTGGCCACAGGCAACTTGTCCTGAAGCATGTTTTGTGGTACCCCTAGTGAGAGGAGTAGTAGTTTTTAACTGAGGCAGTGGATGAGTTTCTTAAAGTAGTTTTCAGTAGGTTGTCTTTTTTTATAGTTACATAAGGAATCATGACATTGTTTCTCAAACAGGGCAGCCTGCTTTATGAACATGGCTTCTGTGACTTTAACAGTGACGGTAGAGATGAAAGATGTTTTATTCTTGATACAGATATACATTCTCAGTTGGCGAGAGTGAGGTATTTTGAGTGAGAGGCCTGTGGTAGAATATGCACACAAATAGGAAGACCTGGTACATTGTTTTGCAAATGAAAAGGGATCCATGATACAGAGTCACAGTTCAGACTTGGGGATAGCATTTCAGAGACCTTGAGCTGGGAGTTAAGAGGGTTTGGATCAAACTAACTCATGAGTGTTTTGATTTCTGCCAGGCCCTGGGGAACTCACCTGGTAGTGTCCTCCTATAAAAAAGATACATGTGCTGGATGATTATCCATGTGCTTCTGATTTGAGCCCCTTTTCTGTCTGACAACTTCCCCTTCCATTGCTTTGACCTTCATGTGCATAACAATAATAGCAAAGAGCAATTCCCTCCTTGAGATCATTGCTGTGT